CAAAGAATAGAATAAAAGGCACCTCGTTGATTTAAGGGCTCACCTATGAATAATTCCCAATGGCGAGGACAAAGGCATATACGTAGAATTTGCACTTGTCTATCTTCTTTGGAGTTACTTATAATCGAATCCAATTAAATTTTAATTTGAACAATCATATTTTACCTATAATAAATTATTCTAAAAATAATAGTGCATTTTAACTGCATTCTAGATCTAGTGATTTGTCTTTTATATTTGAATTACATAGAATATCCAATCATATTTGTAGGAGAGGGTTCAAGAAAGGAGTTGGAAAATTCGAAGATCTTCAAAGATCCTTGAAGAACAACTTCGGATTCTCTAGAATATGATGAGAGGCTTAGATTCTTCAATAATCTCAACCTAGGAACACAACAACAAAGGAGATGATGGAGACTAGTGATTTGTCTTTTATATTTGAATTACGTAGAATATCCAATCATATTTTAATTGGAACCTAAATGGTTACTTAATATTCTTTTCTTATTATTATTATTATTTTGTTTTAAGTTGATTGATTGTATCATCTCTCATTCTGATTCTGATTCTGATTTTGATTATTATGATTTTGATTTTGATTTGTGAGTATAGTCAAGTTTTGTTGTCTTAAGAGTTGAACATTTATTAGCATACTATCTGGTTTTTCTTAATTGATTTTATGTTTATACCAAATGGAAGTTTAGAATGAGGGATGATCATGTTAGATGTGGTGTGTTTGGTGGAGATTATTTTAAATTAAAAATTGTTAATTAGAAAGTAAAAGTAGTAAAAATACTCATTTTCTTAACTTTTAAATAATTAACTATTTTTAATTTATTTAAACTATTTATGCCTCATAAACTGCACCAAATAATCTAACACAACCTCTCAAATTAAAATAAATTATAATCACCCTTCAAAATTTATACCAAACAGCCCCGTAGAGGTTAGAATAAGCAAGTGTAAAACATGATCCAGACCATAGTACATTATTGTGAGCTATTTCTTGATTTTTTCTTTTTTTATTATTAAATATTTTTTATGTTGGAGAATTCTATTATACACCCCTAAGAGTATATACATCCTCAATTAGGCTATTTTTTTTATTTATAAAAAATTATCTTTTTTAATTATGACATTATTTTGAGACATTTATTTATGACTTTTTTATTTTATTTTATAATTATGACTAAAAAAATATAAAGTTATGTCATTTTGTTATATAATTATAAGATATATATAATACACACTCTTTAAAAGATGTATACCATTGCCTTTTCTTTGTACATTTTACAAATTGTGAATAATTAAGAAGATGAATTAGGGTTTTACATAAATTGAAATCATGAAACTTTATTTTTCACAGTAACACATTCTTCTGTCTATTCATCTTTCATTCTCTTTGATTTCTTTGTCACATTTTTTTTTTATGAGTGTTGTTATTAGCACCTATCTAATTTCTTTGGACCCCCCAATTCTTACTTCTTTTTTTTTATTACAATTATACTCTGAAGTAAAATTACATTAAAGGATAACTTTTAACGGAACACTCACCCACCAAATGAAAACAATTAGAATGATACTCTACAATATTGTACACTCACCTCCATCCCCATATATACTTATTTCTTACTAACCTAAACCTTAACTCTATTCTTCTTCATCACCATCCTAAAGCTATGTATTCATCTTTAATGAAAAAAATTTGAAACCATCTAATCAATTACCGTTTTGTTCAGTGGTTTCAAATGCGTTCAGTATTCCAAATCAATTAACGTTGCAAACAATTCTATTACAGACTCCGAATTTTTGCATTTGTGGTCGTTTTCACTATTTGTTGATACTTATAGAGCAATGGAGGACGATGACAACAAATCTGATGAAGTTAGAGTTGCATTGATAAGTTTATCTATTTTGCATTTATGATTCTGAGTCATTTTTGGTTTGGTACTGGTTTGCGACTATTAAGGTTTTGTTCAGTAATACAGTGCTAAATAGAAACATTTAGTTCAGTAATATAGTGTTGAACATAAACATTTTGTTCGACATTAGAATGCCGAACAGTTCCATTTTGTAGGATTTTTCTCATATTTCTATTTTTTGAGGGGTTTTCCCTCTAAAACCCCCTGTATTGAGGGTTTTATTCTGAGATAAACAAATAAAATAATATGTGATTGAGAGTTGTAAGTTACTTGAGAGAAGAAGAAAGAGACCATCGAAGAGATTTCCAACTAAGATATCGTCGTTCACAGTGACAAGCAAAAAGAGACTATCGTTTATGAGAGAATGGGAATAAAGGGATAGTCGGTTTGTCTCTTAATCGTTTGTTGTTCTCAATGATCTCTCAATCGTTCATCGTTTATTGATAGAAAAGAAGAAAAGAAGGTGTGCAAAATTAGGTGGGTGTGCATTTGGGTGTGATGATATTATGAATATGGATAAAATTGGTATTAAGAAGAGTGTTCAAAGAAATGGGGGATCCAAATAAATTAGATAAGTGCTAATAGCAGTCCTCTTTTTTATTTCGAAAGCTCTACTTTCTTATTTTTTCGTTTCAATTTTTACCATATATATATATATATTGTATTATATAACTCTCACGTGCTTATCACATTGGATAAAGTATATTGGTGGGAAGCATGGATGATTTTCCTCTCTTACTCTTTTTTTATAGTCACATTTTTGTCACATGACTGAATTTTGTTAAAGATTTAAAAATAAAATAACAGAAAAGGAACATTGACACTTGTATAGGAATCAAAATGCGATTTGAGTAAAGGTATAGGGAGTTGACTGTCACGATTTCATATGTAGCGACTAAAATGAGATTTGACCAGAAGTACAGAGAGTTGATTGTCATAATTTCATGTGTAAGGGCCAAAGTGAGATTTGATATAAAGTATAGGGGTGCAAAGTATTTGCTCAACCAAAAACATAAGCCAAATTCAAAATATTCAATGTTTTTTTTTTTTAAGAATAAATTATAAATACATCCTTGATATATGTTTAAAATACAAATTACTCTTGTAGTTTTAGAAATTATAAATACACCATTATCATAATTTTTCATTGACAGAAAAAATAAACTTCTAACTATTTTTTTATGCAACAATGAAATTATAAGAATTATTAATTAAAATATGTTGCCGACATCATTAAAAATTATTAATTGACTTAATGATTGAGTATTTGTTATGCGATTAGAAATTTTAAGAGATGAGATGTAATTTTCAGAACCACAATAGACAATTATTAAATAAACTTCAAGGAGTGTATTTGTAATTTATTCTTTTTTTATTATTTTATTTTCTCAACAATATCACATAATTAAAAAAATTACTCAAAAAATGATGCTATTATTGGCCAACATATTTTTTTTGAGCAAATTATAACTACACCTCCTAAAATTTGTCTAAAATACAGGTTCTCATATCTGATTTTGGAAATTACATATTCTCTCCGCTAAAATTTGTCTGTTAACTGTTGTATAAAATCGAAAATGACCATCTTACCCATCCATGCCTAATTAAAAAATTCATATTGTCCTTACATTCTAGGAAAATTACAAATACACCCTATAAAGTTTGCTTAAAATACGAATTATCCCCTATGGTTTAGAAAATTACAAATACCTTCCTGTCGGAATTTTTTATTTAACAGAATTAATTAAAAAAGTAAAATTTCTAATTGTTCACCTATATAATAATAAAATTATTTGAATTATTAATTGAAACAAAATTTTAATATTATTAAAAACTGTTAATTAACTTTATGATTTATTAATAAAATGATCTATTTGTTATGAAATAAAAAACTTTAAGAGGCATAATATAATTTCTAAAATCACAAAAAATAATTTATAATTTAAATAAATTTCAAGAGGTTTGTTTGTAATTTACCCTTATATTTTTGCTACCCCTATCTACCATTGTCAACCAATCAACCACCTTTACGTCCTATTCTTTCATAGTCACAAATAAAAACCCTTTTGAAAACCACAACTTTCTTTGAAATTTCTTCAAAATCCACAACAGAAAGAGGTAATTGAATTATAAAAGTAAAAAAAAAAAAATCTCTTGAACAATTTTCTTCAAAATCCACAACATAAAGAGCTAAATAAATTATAAAAATAGTAAAAAAAAAAAAATATTACAACAAAAAAATCTCTTGAACAATTCCTCAAACAATTTGTGTTATTAAGGTTACAATTGACATTTTATATTTTTTTAAGGATTGTTTTGAGAACTAATTATTTTAGTTGATTTTCTGATTTTTTATAAAAAGATTTGAAAAAAATAAAAAGAATAATTGATTTTTTGATAGTAAATTTTTGACTGTAAGCAAACTCATCGTTTGACCAGAGTAACAAATAGGAGAAATTGTAATTCTATTTAAAACACAGAAATGTAATTTCTAAAATTAAGGCATAATCGTTGGCCTATTTTGGCAATATTTATTTTTTGGCTTTTTCAAATTTTTAAGTTATATTATCTTTTTATTTTTTTTATATTTTTTTAAAAAAATTTTAAAAATTAATTTTTAACCCACTTTACAAAATAATCCATTATTTTAAGTAAACCTAGGGTGTTGGTATATCCGTTACAAAGGCCAGCAAAGAGGATTAGAATAATGAAAATCAGTGAAGTCCACTGTTTTGTTTGATTTCAAACTTCACAGAGTCATTCATACAAACAAACACATATTAGTCTACAAACATGGCGGGCCTAGAAAGCAGCTATTTTAAGCCACCCGTGCTTCCAATTTTCCTCACCCATGTCAGTTTATCTCTCTAAAAACCCTCTACTTTACACTAGTAGTAATAATAATAATTCTTTCTTTTTTTCTCCTCCACACAAGCCTTACTTTTCGCCTTGAATCAATCAATGCGACAGCTCGTGTCCTTGTTGTTAATGATGATGATGTCATCCCCTCCCTCCTCCCCCTCCCTTTGAATTAGCTTCAGTTTTCCGCTTTCCCGTTCCCTTCTTTTCCCAAGATTTGATTTTGATTGTTTTCCTGTTATATTTGGTCCATTTTTTTGTTTTTTTGATATGGGTTTGGTAAGTTTTTTTTTTATTTATTTTTTTTTTTTTAATCATCCTTTATACCTGAGTTACATCATCTAATGGTTTGGTATTCAATTATTCGAGTTGGGTTTCCAAAAATTCGAGTTGGGTTTTGAAATTTCACCCTCCTTTTATCAATTGTCTATATCTTTTGGGTTTTGATAGTTTTTTCTCTGTGCTTGAAGTTATATTGTTGTGTTTGAGTCTACAAAAATGGAGTTGAAGAGTGGTGAGGGAGAGGGAGTGAAGGCCAAGGATGTGGGAAGTATTAGTAGTAAAGAATTGTTTTTCAGAGCAGATAAGATTGATTTCAAGAATTGGGATGTAATGTTAGAGAAGCATGTGAGTCGGGTTTGGTCGAGGGATAGGGAAGTTCAGATGAGGAAGGAAGATTGGGAAATTGATTTAGCTAAATTGGATATAAGAAATGTTATAGCACATGGGACATATGGGACTGTGTACAAAGGTGCTTATGATGGCCAAGATATTGCAGGTGATTCAACTATTCCCTATGCTCCATTCTGTTTAGTTATTCAGAAATTGATTTCTTTCCCATTGCATTAATGGTTTGAATTTAAATTATATGTTGTCTGTGTTCTACTCTGATATCCTTTAAATTGTATTATTCTGGTCATAATTTCTAGAACTAGTAAATTGTTTGGTTGAGTTGTTATTAATTGGTGCTTCTACTTCAAATTATTGTTGAGTTGGTCTGTTTTAATAGGAAGCAAATCAGAACAGATTAAATGACTAACTTCCTTAATCTACTTAGAGGATTTATCTGGAATGTGCTCTCCTATGATCCCCTCAATCCTCTTTCTTTTAATGATATATTCTCCATTCAATTAAAAAGGATGATTCATATTATCGGAGCCTTCACTTATTTGCTGAGTTATAAATTGGCTTATAAGCTGCCGCCGAAGGTGCTCTAATTGGTCTATGTTGAAGTAGTTGCTCCTTCTTCTATACCAGTAGTATCTATACCCTTGTTTGCTTCTAATGCACGGTGATTTCTGTGCATTTGTATTTTGTAGGGTGCCCACTAAATTTATTATTGGTTAAATTGTGATGTATTCATGCCCAAGGAAACATTTGATATAGTTTATGTTATGGCCTGCAACTTTTAACTTCACTAGAAGTGGCAAGTTTCTTTGTAGTGTCGAAACTTACTGCAAAATAGAGGATATGTGGGAGTATTCAAGATTTCTCAGAACTGGTCTGCTAAGCATGAATTTGTTTGCCTGTGATATTGAGTTTCTTAAAATGTTCCAACAGCTATAGAAACAAGCCTTTTGGACTGTAAGGCTGTGTTTGTATCATGGATTTGAGGAGGGATTTGTGGAGGGAAAAGTGGAAAAAAATAAAATAAAATAAAATTAAAAAAAAAAAGAAAAGGGAGAGAAGAAAAAAGCTTATATTTCATTCACTTTTCCCATCACTTTTCCTTTCATTTCCCAAATTCCTCCTTGAATTCATGATCCAATCGCAGACTAAATGTAGTATATTGGCCTCTGTTTGAGGCTTCCTACACTGCTGGCATCTCTCGTAATGTGTGCTTGCAACTTGTACATCCTATATAGGCATTGGTGCATTGTCTAGAAAATGCTACCTTAGTGATTTACATTTTGAAACACATGTTCCAAAACATGGCAAACTTTTGTTCCAAAATGGAAAATTCAATGATCCAAAGTGATTTCAATAAATTTTCCAATATATTTGAAAGCTTTCCTTAGTAGGAAAGAAAATTGAATGTACTAAACTAAAATCCAAAGAGAGTGTAGTTTTGGCAAGATAAAGCACAAAAAATGCGTCATAATAATGCTCATAGAAATGTGTTGTTACATGATTCATTTGAAAAAAATAAACCACATTTTACTAGATGTCTAATTGTTAAAAGAAAAATACTCTAAAAGTATCTTAAATTCTAACAGTATAATCTATACAAGTCTACCCCTCTTGTACCATATTATAGAGCATGTGACATACCACATTCTCATTCCCATTCCTTATATAGAAACAATCCACTTCACAGGAACGAAGGTTGGAAGTGAATGGTTTTAGCTCAATTTATTGGGCGATAGAGAAAGAATAATTACTCTAGATGCAATGAGACACACAGATTTTATTTATTTTTATTTTTTAAATAGTTCAAAAGGAAAAGGACCATTTACTAGTGCTGGTTTTTCCATTAAGCGTGCTGAAGTTGGTAGGCTGTGCATAGAACCTAACTTCTGGATGTAAGATAGTATTGCAAATTGACATTGTTGCAAGTATTTTCTCTAGTTCCCCTCCTTTTGTTTTCAGGGTTCCCTGTTTTACCCCTTTTATTTGGGAGAGGAGCAATATTAAAATCTGATTCCATGTCAGTATGTACTGTTTTTGGTATGGTAACTTGGTAAGTGACCCATTCAAATGTTTACATCACATTGCTATAATGCTTGGACAACAAAAAGTTTCAATGCAGTTGAGAAAATTTACATTTTTTATTTACGTATCCATTTTGCATCATATTTATATCGATATACATGTCTATGTTTGAACATATATATTCATGCTTGTAAGGCACATATGATCTGTTGTAAATACCACTGCAATGTTAATTATCAAAAGCACATAATCTAGAAAGCACAGATACGGATACGAGGTACGGATACTATACAGTACGGATACGGCGATACAGCGATACAGTAAAATCTAAAAAAGTAGGATACGGGTACGGTTAGGATACGTTTGTAAAAAATAAAAAATAAAAAAATTATTAGTAATGGCTTACACATAAGCTCAAGAATGTTGAGAAACCACAGTAACTTTATGATGTAAAATACTAATATTTAAGAATTATATATTAATTTAAGGCAGTAGCTAGTTTAGTTTTTAAATTTTCAATGGGTCTTGCAAATATTTCATTTCAATATCAAGTCTATATGTTGATATTATAATATCAAAACAATCCACAACTTGACCCTATGCTTTTTCCTTTTGCACTAGTCAAAAATATTCTATGCAAGTTTATTTGCTTATTTATTTATTGATATTTAATTTCACTATTGTTACATTATCTTATTAATCCTTACTTCTATGTAGTTATAGGGGACATGCATGATACAATGAAGATATGTCAATTTGATGAATTCTATTACTTTAGCTTACTATGTTATTTTTATAAAAAAAACTGCGCAAAGTATTGTAAAAATATTCTATTTATCCTCGCAATTATATTATATTATGATGTTATGCAAGAAATGATACACTTCTAATTTCGTAGAAGGAGTAATATGTGACTTGGAGCATTTGATACTTCAAAATTAATTAAGAAGTATCCGATAATATGTGACTTGGAGCATCTGATACTTCAAAACTAAGTATCCGATACTTCAAAATTAATGAAAAATTAATTAAGAAGTATCCAATACTTTTAATAAGTATCTGATACGTATCCGTAAGTATTGAAGGAGTATCGGTATCCGATATGGATAAGTCTTCCTATTTGAAGTATCCGTGCTTCATAGCACATAATATGATATCGAAAAATAGTTTGCCTCATATAATTCTTGCAGAGTAAACCTCGAAACTTCAATTATCTGGCTAATATCATAAAGTCATCATGTTTTTTTATTATGTTATTAATCTCATTATTATATGTCTTCCTAATATTATAGTGAAGGTATTGGATTGGGGGGAGGATGGTATTGCCACAGCTGCTGAAACTGCTGCTCTTCGGGCGTCATTTCAGCAAGAGGTTGCTGTTTGGCATAAGCTTGACCATCGAAATGTTACAAAGGTAAAGGTTTCTTCTTCTTCTTTCTTCTGTTCCTCAGTCTTCACTTTTTTGCATAATGTATGCAAAGAATGGTGGTGCTATAATGCAATACGAATTTAACACTGCACATCAATTTTAATATAATGATCTTCCACTAATTTCTAGTCCTCATTTCGCATAAATTGCCTGGTAATATCTGACTGTTCTTCATTTTCTACCTATTGTGATATTTTCCATTTCTTTCCTTTTTTAGGCTTGAATGACGCGTAATTTCTTTTTTCCCTCCCATATTTTCGAATATTTATGGTACTTGTATTTTCTGTTATAGTTTGTTGGAGCTTCTATGGGAACATCAAATCTGAAGATTCCTTTGAACAACAACTCAAGTGATGCTCCTAATTCCCTTCCCTCCAGAGCTTGTTGTGTTGTTGTTGAGTACCTTCCAGGTGGAACACTAAAGAAATACCTAATCAGGAATATAAGAAAGAAACTCGCCTTTAGGGTTGTGATTCAACTGGCTTTGGACCTTTCTAGAGGGTGAGGACAGTTTCTCTTATTATTGAATTGAAATATAAAAGGGAATTTATATATATATATATGTGTGTTTTGACTGATCTTTTTTTCTTTTTCTTTTTTTCTTTCCAGTTTGAGCTATCTTCACTCTAATAAGATTGTACATCGTGATGTTAAAACGGAAAATATGTTGCTAGATTCTCATAGAACTCTGAAAATTGCTGATTTTGGTGTTGCTCGAGTTGAAGCTCAAAACCCAAGGGACATGACTGGGGAAACGGGTACCCTTGGGTACATGGCCCCAGAGGTACTTGAACCATGCAACTCCTTTGTACTCGGATCAAATTTATAATAGAAAGCTAAATGGTTGAAAGGACCAAATAGTCTAATTTATCTTCAAAGGTTCTTTTGTCAGTTTCCCTCTCTCCAAAAGCAGGAGAAGAAATCTGATGGGATAATTTTTGTAGGTCCTCGATGGTAAGCCTTACAATAGGAAATGCGATGTGTACAGTTTTGGCATATGCTTATGGGAAATCTATTGCTGTGACATGCCTTATCCTGATCTTAGCTTTGCTGAAGTATCTTCTGCAGTTGTTCGACAGGTTAGTCTTTTACATATGGAAAATAATGTTTCAAGCATTTTCATCACGATTGTGAGTTGGTATACATCTCTATGGGCTGCACATGTACAATCACCTATTTTACATGGATTCTTCAAAGTAATTTAAATACCTGCTTCGGACACTGTACTCTTGGACTAGGGTGTGAGATTGATACTTTCCATCAGACACTTCTTATATATTTGTAGTTAACACGATCATTTATATGTATATATTGCTGTATAATTATTGTAAAATGTCTTTTTGACATTGTATGTTAATTATCACACATTTTATCTCACATAATAAATTAAAAGTATAAAAATATGACCCTTCTTTGCCGAGACCTAGTACCCTTAATTCTAGATTTGATGACCGCACTTGTACTTGAGTCCGTGTAATATAGACAATCACATAGTCAAGTCTCCAATCCCCATGTGCCTATGCTAGTATATTGATAAATGTACCGTTCTTTGGGATCAAATATGATTAAATTACCTTGAATTTTTGGACAATGTCAGGACGTTCTTAAATATGAAAATTTTAAAGAAACTGCATTTACTCTTCATTTGGGTTGAACTTTTCTAGCCTTTGTTGGGTTGGATGCTAATTTGTTCACAAGGGTGCTCAGGTTGAGCATGACCTCCCTAGAGCCTTCTCTGCTGGATTTTTCAAGCGACTCTATATTGACAATGTCATAATTTTTGAATTGGTTTTGATAGAATCTACGCCCAGAAATCCCTAGATGTTGCCCGAGTTCATTGGCGAGCATCATGAAGAAATGCTGGGACGCAAACCCTGGAAAACGACCAGAGATGGATGAGGTGGTGACATTGTTAGAAGGTGGAATGATACCTGATGGCCAGGCTCACGGCTGCTTCTGTTTCAGCACACCTCGTGGTCCATGAGTTTTTGTTTTTCGTTTTGACTACAGATGACATGAAGCAGTACTTCACTAGACTGCATATATATATTTTCTTGGGAAGGATCTCATGCTTGTCAGAAGTTTCTGTAGAACATGAATGTTGAAATTTACTTATTTCAGTGTATGGAAACCAATCTTTTCTAATCAATTTGTCCCCCTTCTGCAAAAATTTCTTTGGAGCATTTTCTAAGATTGTGCTTTTAATCCCTCCATTTTATTTTACAGCTCAATTTTGAAATGCTATAAGTTTGGCCAAGGAACTTGTATAGATCTATATAAAGTGCACTGAAAGAGTTAATAAACTTGTAGTATGAAAGCAATTTCCCAGAAATGCCCATACAGGAAACAACATGGTTATGGCTGAGAAAAAAATTGAGAAGAATATGAAAATTGAAGTCCTTTGGTTTCACTATCCGTAGATAATCTCAAGTAACCTTTCACTTGGTCAGTCTAATTTGCAGATTTTTTACATGCACAAAATTCGATAATAGAATTGACACAACCCTTCCATATTAGGGTGGGATTTACATATTTTATAGGTTTGACCCCATATAAAAATGTTGTATCTGGTTATATTGTCAATTTATTTGCATTTGCATTTAAGTCTCCCAACTTGAAGAGCTTGCAGCTTCTGTTTCATTACATGGATTGACATATATAGTGGGCCATTTGAGAATTATTCTAGTATATCAGTATATCAAGTATTTGGTGGAGTTAATGCCTTGTTTGTTTTAGTGAAGGTTCTATTGATCTGTTTTAGTGGGTTCTCACCTTCTAGATAGACTAAAACATCAAACAATTTTTTTTTTTTTCCCAAAATTATATAAAATTTTCAATTTCTAAATAAAATAGCATGCAATCTAGATTCCTCCTCAGGTAGGGAGCAAAGATGCTGGGGACAAGTAAAAATATCATTTAAATTCAAAAACCCAAAAAAAAAGAGTAAAAATATCATATATGAGGAAGGTTTTTAGGTAATTTTATAAATTTAGTCATAGCTAACTAATATCACCATACTAGTACACAAACAAACACACTTCATCTTAAATCTCTAATTTAATATCATCACACTAATAATTTTCTTATTCAATTTCTCTATACTCATAATCTCATCTAATTTAATATTTCAAACAAACCAGGTCAATAGGAAGACAAATGTGAGATGATGACAAGCTATGGACAAAGGATTGTACAAGAAATAATTTCTTCGTATGTGTAGATTGGGGTCACAATGTGAGATGATGACTGTACAAGAAATGATTTCTTCATGTGTAGATTGGGTCACTCCTATTGAGAATAAAATGTACTTGGCTACTCAAAGAAAGGAGAGTACATATTGTCAAAAATTCATAATTTAAATTTATAAATTCATTTATAATAATGTAATAAAGTAATTGAGCCATATATATAATATGAAATATATGATAAATTAAAAATTAATACTTATCATATCATTGTAAAACCAATTAGAATTTTAAAAGTATAATTAGGAGAGATATTTTAAAAGTATTCTCAAATGTTTTCTATGTAGGCCAGTCCAACTCTCATTGAGACCTAAAGCAAAATTTAAAATGGGATTTTTTTTTGATATTTAAATATAAGTCAAATAATAGTATTAGTATTAAATCATCAATCAATCTCAACAATCACAATTAGTTCAAATTCAATTAGGGGTGGATTGAGATGATCTAAATAAATATACTTTTTGACTTTTTATGAAATATGAGTTGTGTATGGGTTGGATTTGAAGTGATGTGTTAGAGAGGTGCACTACAGGAAAAAGCGCATTTGGCGACTAAATTTCCCGACTAAAAAAATTTGGTCGCTGAAAGTATAGCTTTTGGCGACTAAAAAAGCATTAGTAGCCAAAAGTAAAGATTTTTGGCGACTAAAAAAATTTAGTAGCCAAAAGTATAGGTTTTCGCGACTAAAAATCTGTTTGGTTGCCCATATATGGCTTTTACCGACTAAAAAAATTTTAGTAGCCAAAAGTAAGGCTTTTTGGCGACTAAAAAAAAATAGTAAAAGCCAAAAGTGAGGCATTCGGCGACTGAATTGATGTTTGGTCGCCAAAAGTGAGGCTTTTAACCGTCTAAAAAAAATTTTTGGTTAGCCAAAAGTTAGGCCCCCTTTGGCGACTAAAAAAAATTTAGTAGCCAAAAGTGAAGCCTTTACCCCGACTAAAAAATTTTAGTAGCCAAAAGTGAGGGTTTTTGGCGCCTAACAATAATTTAGTAGCCAAAAGTGAGGCATTCGGCGATGAAAAAGAAGTTTAGTCGCCAAAAGTAGTAATTTTAGCGCGGGAACTTTATTTTTAACGACTAAAAAATTATTAGTAGCCAAAAGTACAGAATTGGCGACTAAAATTATGTTTAGTCACCAAAAGTGGTCTCTTTTTTTTTTCAAATAAATAATTTATTTTTACATAAATTATGTTCAATAAAAAATAATTATCTTTATATATATTCTTTTATATTAATACGGGTCTATGTACTATATAAATAATATATGTTGCATATATAATCATATGGTGTTATGGAGGCGTAGTGAAAAGAGGGTGTTTGTATATGGTTTATAGTGTGCGAGATTTTTTTTTATTGGCGACTAAAACATTGGTTGGTAAATGTATAATTTCAAAAAAATATAATTGACTATTGGCTACCAATAATTTAGTAGCCAAACATTAGCCCTTTGCCGACCAACTAAAATTTAGTAGCTAAAAGGTAGGTTTTGCCGACTAAATAAAATAGTAGCCAAATGTTTCACTTTCAGCGACCAAACACACGTTTAGTCGCTAAAACATTCGCCGAAAAGGTTTAGGCGACTAAGTTGGCGACAAAAAAATTTAGTCGCTAATTGGTTTTGGCGGCTAAAAAAGTGACTTTTGGCGACTAATATTTTGGTCGGCAAAACTGTTATTTCTTGTAGTGGTGATGTGATAACCCTGTTCCGTAGTATGCTAATTGGTCTTTATTATGAGTATGATTATGTATTTGATACGATTTTGTGTGCCATTTGTATGAACATATGCGGTTTTGAATTTTTATCTGTTCACTGTAGGAATATCTGTTTAACTTACTATTATAAACTGAAAATTAAAGGCTTTATCGGCCACAGAAACGGAAATTGACTACGCCATTGTGATTAGCGTAATTTTTAGAGCCTACGGTGAGATTTAATTGAAAATTGATTTGGATCAAATTAAATAGATTAAATTGATGGTATAGTACTCAAATTATTTAATATTGACAATTATGATAATGGGACTTATATAAAAAGGGGCACCATACACTCAACTCCTCTCTTTTATTCATTTTGGCTGAAATTACTCTAAGGAAAGAGAGAGAGGGTCAGCTAGAGAGGGAAAAAGGAAGAATTGGGCAATTTTGGCTCAAGGCTTGAGAATTGGAGGTTGAACGCAAAGAATTAGCTAGAATTTGGGTGTTTGAAGCTTCTAGGTGAGTAAATTCATGGATTCTAGTTTGTAACTTTGTGAATTCAAAGTTGAATGATGATCAAGAACATGAATTGAATTGATTATGATGAAATTGAGTTGGTTTTATTGAGTTGGAAGTCAATATGCACATGCATGTGAGAAATTGCTTTGAATTTGCATGCTTGAGCACAAAATGTATAATCCATGTGAGATTTTAGTTGAAGCTCATATTTTTGACCATCTCTTCATCATTTAAGTTGAGAATAGAAGTTGTGTTCCACATGCATGTACAATTGATAAGAGTATAGGTATTGAATGCATGAAATTGTTTTGTTGGAAATAAATTTGGTGTAAATTGGGACATGCATGTGATTGATTCATGAAATTGAGCTTCATAATGTAATGAATTTAGTGTTGGATCATGTTAGTATATGTATATGTGAAGTTTGAGCCATAATATGCAAGATATGTTGATTTGAATGCAAGTTTGAAGCTTAAGAATAATTCTGGATTTTCCAGAATTTGGGATGTCTGCTTGAGTGGGGAAGGCGCCGCTCGAGCGGGAAATACGAGCTCCCAGAACTTTTTGCAGACATGGATGTCCACTCGAGCGGGGAAGTTCACGTTCGAGCGGGGAGTTATGTAGAATGACCTTTAGCTCGAGCGTCCGAATTCACGCTCGAGCGTAGAAATGAGGCAACCAGTACTTTTGCAGACTTAATGGGTCCGCTCGAGCGGGAAAGTCCACGCTCGAGCGGGGACCCCTGTTTCTGAAATTTTGTAAATGTGTTCTGTGTTCCATTTTCCGTTCTCTTGCACTTCTAAGTACTATTAGGCATGCATTAATCATTGTAAATAAGTTAAAAGGATAAGAATAAAGCGTAAAGAGGAATATGTGAATTAAGAACGGATTGAATTGTTTGTGACCCATTGTGTTCATGGAATGTGTAGGGTTGAGCTCCAGGGCAAATCATCCGGCCGATCATTGTGAGTAATATCTTAATAAAGATATTTTGAAATATGTTGTTTGTCCAATTACTTATTCCTCTATAAGCTTTATGAGTCTGCTGATTTGAATTGTGGACAAATGTTTGCTATGCCATATGGTTGGACCTAAGGCCGTTCGCTATGAATGAATGGGCCGGAGGCCGTATGACATGAATGACAGTTTGACATGAATGAAAGAATCGTTGGACCAAAGTCTAGTTTGACATGAATGAAAGAATGGTTAGGCCAAAGGCCAGTCTGACATGAATGAAAGAATGGATGGGCCGAAGGCCGTTTGACATGAATGAAAGATAAATGGGCCAAAGGCCAGTTTGACATGAATGGATTGGGCCTGAGGCCGTCCGATGTGTTTGAAACCGCAGTCACTTGATCTATATACATATATATATATATATATGTATATACTAGATAGAAATATGAATTGGGCCCAAGGCCGTCTGATGTATATTATTCTAATGTACCTTATTTATTTGATATTATTCACTGGGCTTTCGCTCACGCTTATTCATGTGTTTGTAGGTGAGCCAAGAGAGGTCCAACCCCAGCCTCAGTGAAGTTTGTGTGGAACAACCAATGTTTTGAAGAGTCAGCCCTTACGTCTTACGCACGAGACTCATCTTCGCCCTTTTGCTATCTTGTTTTATTTTGTCATGTTGGCGAGGACTTTGGATTATGATTGTATATAGTTTTGATTGGCTGACCTA